TTCCATAGTTTGCTTGTTAGAAAAATGAAATGGCGAAGAATCGAATGCTTCCTAGAATGAGAAAGGCGTCACATGCTTTAGGGCTGCAATGGAGCTGCCCTGCCAGCCTTTACACAGCATGAGAATGACAATGACAGCATGCGCATCGAGCACCATCGTCCATCAATCAGACCTTACCCAATCTCAGTATGCCAACAAAGGACTAACGCCTCATTCCCTCCATCTATATCTATTTACCCGGTACCCATTGCATCATCAGAAGAGCTCTATATTATCGAAACATTTTCCTTTTTTCTTCCTATGTACGGCCCAGCCATTCTGTCCGTGACCGAGATGCAGAACGGTGCGGTTGCGGTCACCGCAGCCGCACAATGCAGTACCTATAGCCGGGGTGCGGTGTCGGGACGGTGCGACTCCCGTAATAGGCCATTGACGTATTGTCGGCGGAGGCTGGCTGGGGTGCTGGGAGCGCCGCCTGCGGTGCCGACGGCGCCGGTAAATAGACTCGGCGCCGCCGGCGGATGAGGCGCCGTGCCGGCCATACCGCAGTGGGCCGGAGCTGGAGGGTGTATTGAGCCGGCGGCAAGGCCGGCGTCGCCCCGGGGTATAAAATAGACAGACGTCGACAAATCCCCGGCCATAGATGGGACCGGACCCGGGAACGGCACGGGTGGGAAATATTGCAGGACATTTCGCAAAATTGCAGGACCGTTTTGCATTCTCGCGACGGGTGGGCGAAAATGTCCATAATTTAATATAGGGCAATAATGCAACGGCAGTGACAGTTCGGTTTCATTTTGCTCTCGCTGGACGATGGTGTCTCGGCTATCGCCTGGCACCAGCTGCGCACCATTCCTCTGTGCGTTCTCACCACTCTACCGTTGGTGCCCTGGGTCGCACTGCCACCACTGGTGCTTGGACGACCTACTCGGCACCGGCAATAACTAAGGTAACGCAGACGTATGGTCCCATGGGCCACATACCCGTCTGGAGACTGCCGCCAACTTTACAGGAAAGCGGGCCATTTAGGCTCCCAGGAGAGCCAAGTAGCGAGTGCTACACTTGACATTATTCTGCCCCTGGCGCTCCAACGCAACGCCGTTTGTTCGCGCTGAAACTGCGCACAGTAATTTAAAATACCAAAACATTTCCTTACAATTTTTGCTCTTATATGTCAGTATCACGCATACAAAGCGGTCTAACACATAGAGAGTAATTGCTATTCTTGGACTTCGCGTATTGTTAAAATAGTCAATTTTGTTTAAACCGAAATTAT